CTCATGATTCAATAAATGTAAACGACGAAAAGTAAAGAAATAATATATATATAGTGCATGAATTAATTTAACATGGCTTTTTATTAAATTAATTTCGCTCCCACTAATTAACTCAAATTTATGACCCTCTCACATAAATTTATGGAATCCATACTTAACTACCAGTGGGCTAGGATCCCATTTTTTATATTAAAACTTTGAGTGTACTTAACAAGCCTTAATAAAATATTTGGGTAAATACTATTATTAATTATATCTCCATACAACTCTCATATCATTAAGCTGACAATTTTTTGTCTTCACACATCTTATGTGTGAACTTAACATGCTTCTAAAATTTATCTCATCGAGTGTACTCAACAAAAGATAAATTTTAGTTAAGTCAAACACATCATTTAGAAATGTTTAATATTTCATAGTGTCGAACATATCTCTAATAGGCCAGTTTTGAGTGTACTTAACAAGTTGAGATTGATTGAGAATTCTGATTTTCACTATAATGATGAAAAACGAATATAAATATGACTTAATATTTTAACGAGGGGTTTTGTATGCAAATGTCTCATCGTAATAATTATATATCTTATTATACATCTAGCATGCAAATAAATATACGGGTCTGTTTGATTGCAAGAATGGAATTTGGGGGGAAAGAAAATGAATTTTAGGTAATTGAATTATCTAGAACTTGTTTTATTGGAAATTGTCAATTAATTACGTTTGATTGGTATAATTTTTCACCTGAAAAATATTGAAATATTGAATTTTTTGGTGTTCGTTTTGTTTTGTTTTCCATGAAAATTGTCCATTAAAGGGATATAATTTGTTATAATTACCAGAAAAAAATAAAAAAACATAAAAAAAGTTTCCTAGAAAAGATTTTCCCACCAAAGTGGTGGGAAATGTTTTTCCTCAAAAACCAAGAAAATGTGAGCATGTCGGTGAAAGATGGAAAACCAATTCCATGAAAATTTGGATAATCAAACATGCAAAAATGTGGAAAATTGAATTTAATTTCCATCTTCTATGGAGTTAAAGTGCAATCAAACATGACCTACATATAATAATGTGGACGAATATGAACTTTACTAGCTAGTCTTCCCGAACCGCAAGAAATAGTAATTGGTCAATTTTTAGGGAATATAATATTAAATTATACAATGCTCCATCTCTATGATCTCCTCATCTGAGTTTCTTCAAGTTGCAACATGTATCCTATACTAATTGGCACGCATGTCTAAATAATTGAACACGCATACCCATAAATTTACAACCGACTCGTAGGTCCAAAAGAAGAGCTCGCAAGCTCATAAAACAACAAGAATAAAACTAATCGTTCAACACATCCACATTGTCAGTTCATAATCATCCACTAATAAAACATTAATCATATAAATGCTTTCCTATATAATATATAATCTTATATGCAAACAACACCTTGGCCAATGATTTCATTTTTAACTTAACTGAATGAAATTTAGATTATAAACTTTTACTATCTAAGAGTGACGAATATTTTATTAATCATTCACAGTTTTCATATAATTTTTGACATACCTGAACGATGCCGTATTAGCGATCATTGGCAAAGTAACATCCAAAACCACCAAAGTATGACTATCTTCGTGTAAGGCACTATGATGACATCAAGTCAAATGACCAATTCCGCTATCGAACGTTAGAAATTAACCACTGACACTCAAATGATTTAAGATTCAGTCCTATATAATTTGTATCTCACAATCACAACTCCTCGTGCTTAACAAATTACCAAGACTTGAATCTATGGCTTCTATTTTTTAATTTAATTGAATATTAGCTCAATTAAATAATAGATATTGTAGGAATCAACAAGCTGGATCATGATCCACCCTAAACGGNGATTAACAAATCACCAAAACTTGAATCTACAGATTCTGTTATTTATTTTATTAGAAAATTAATTCAATTAAATAATAGATATTGCCATAAATATGTATCAATTATATATTAAAAATGTTTATGTCCAAAGTTGATTGGATCTAGGGCATAACACTTACACAGACAATGTTTTAGCATAAACTTTTTCGACTTCTTTTCAACTGAAGCTTTGGTGGAAATAAATCTTTACACAAATGAAGAACCAACGCATGCATCTGAAAATGAAAGGAAATAATACACAGTTTTTGGAAGAAATCAGGTTTTAAATTCCTAGAAATTGTAGGATTCTATACCCAAAGGGTATTGGCCACGTCTAAAATCATCCCAGATGAAAAGAATAATGATTCAAATATGACTCATCCTCAAGGCCGTTTAGGTTCTCCTGTTCAGCTCAAGAGTAAGTATATTTACATAGATGCGAAAAAAAAAAACTAAACAAATTATTCAATCCACATCCAAATATCTGTCAAAATAGAGAAAGTTTAGAAAATCTAAAAGATCCATGATCAATGAATCAACCTCTCCTCTTTCCTACTTTTTCCTTTAAATTGTTAAACACGTATCATTTCAGGCATCAGCATAAAAATTCTGAAGATAGTTTTTGTATTTTATACGTGCAATGAAATTCACGTAACCTGATCAGAATAAGAGTACGTGAATTTGGGTAAAATGAATGCACATACATTGTTATTGATCCCCATAACAGTTCTTAAAATACAACAGTCTTGTTCCGTTCATAAGGTAGAACTCGTAGCTCACAGTATGACTTAATTGCTTTTGCAAGGCACTGCTTCTCGAGGTCCTCAGATTTCTGTATAAAACTCCGCAAATTGTCCCTGTGGGAAACTCTCTCGACCTGAAACAGGAAAGATGATATTAAGGCATCCTTAAGGAGTAGCACTTATCACCGTGTAATTCTAGAACTCTAAAACTCAGAAACTCAAGGGAGGTGTTTTGAGGTCATTCCTATCACATTTAATAGACAACCACACTGGAATTCTCAACAACCTTTAGCTGAAACTAATGTGCAATTTCCCCGCATATCATAAATATAGCTTATTATAGAAACATCTTCTAGCTGTCATTTCACCGACAAGGTTACTATATACTTATTCTAAAAAATTTCTATAAATGGTTTCCATTGTCTCTAATGCCTGCCAATTTAGCAGTTCAAAATACACGTTTTTCTAATTCAAAACCATATTTTTATTGAAAAAAATTTTAGATCAGTGAAATTGCAAAGTGCTTTTTCATGGTCCTGTGATTATTTGAATTCTTCTAATCAGGAATGCTAAGATTGAAAATGTTTCCGTCAAATGAAGAAGAAGTGTCAGGTACATAACCTCTGTAGATCATACATTACTATTGGAGAAGATGAGATGCTTAGTGATAAAATATGGCATGCCTGACTTAAATGAAACTAAATATCTATATAAATCAAATGTTATGAATCTAAAGAACTTGAGAACAATATGTTCTCCCCATATCTATCATAATCATGTTGAATTGCAAAATAAACGAAATCAATGAACATAGTAATCTATTGAGCCCATTAATTCCAAGAACCAATAATTGTTGCTACTCAGTATAAATAAAAGTCAATTATAATGAAAATTAAGTGCATCATTCAACATTGGAACAAATACCATTTGCTCGATAATTGGCCCAGAATCAAGTTCTTCAGTGACAAAGTGAGTTGTAGCACCGATCAATTTTACTCCATAATCAAAGGCCTGTAAATAACAAATAGTGGAT